GTGCTGTTGAGTTGGTTCCGACTCATAGCGATACTGTATAGGGTTTCTGAGGAGCGGCTGGTGAGTTTGAACCACTAACCTTGTGGTCAAGCACCATACCAGGACTTTAATCAATGTGATTTTACTGAACGGTGACTAACTGTGTTACTTGAGGTACTATACAGAGACATTTGAGTGATCCATGCATTTCTTCTTAAGTGTGGCTTTTAAATACGCTTTCCAAATTCTAACAATTGTTACTATTGGTAGAGAAACAAGCAAAGGCTGGAAATCTCTATCATCATTCTTTCCACTTCTAATTTTTCTAGTTCTTTTGAGTGAAAACTTCTATCAATCTGTGATTCCATTTCATAAAATCGTCTTGAATTAGAGCTCAGAGCCCAAACAACAATGGACACCATAGATTGACACTAACTGATGACATCAGTTCACAGAATAGTTCACTTGCAAGACAATTCGATGTGTACTATTACATGGATATGGAGTAGGCTGAAAACCAGGTTATTAGCTCTGGCCTAAATTGACGTAACAGTAGACCACACCACAGCTTATTTTAAGGAGTGGCAAGATATAAAGTATGCTTGTTGGGTTATAAAACAGGCGTGATGTGACATGGTTGCTTTTTTTTTTCTTTCCCTACTAACATCAGTGGCATACTTTAATCTTGTTAAAATACTTATTTCTATCTGACTGTAGCCCTATAGTATCTTCACTGATGTTTCAATTATTTTTGAGATGCTCTGACCAGCCTTTTTCTTAGGAAAGGTGGTTCAAGGATAAGATTGTGTCGTGGCTATGGGATGCTGTAACACGCTAACATTCGTGGGATGGTCCTGGTCTCTCTGGATAGCTGCCTTCACTGTATTTGGGATTTCCTAGGCCAAGTATTTTTGCTGTGATGGTTGTTAGTGTGGTTGAGTCAGCCCCTGACTCATGGTGACCCCATGTACGAGAGAACAGAACAAAAAGCTGTCCAATCCTGTGCCATCCTCATGATTGGTTGGGAATTGGACTGTTGCGCTTCATAGCGTTTTCATTGGCTGATTTTCAGAAGTAGTTCACGAGACATCTTAGATCGGACATCTTAGTTCAGAAGCTCCGCTGAAACCTATTCAGCACCATAGCGACACACAAGCCTCCAAGGAAAACTGAGTGGTGCCTGTCCTTGAGATTGTTTGGCTGTGAATTGAACCTGCACATCCTGCAGGGTTGTTGTTAAGTGACGTGAAGTAGGTTCTGACTCGTAGCGACCCTGTACAGGGTGTCTTGCATAGAAGGGAGAAATTCTACCACGGAACTGTCAGTGCATACACAGACGATTTCATTTGAAAAGACAGATACAGAAAGTGTGCATTATTGACACTAAAATGAGTAACACACATTTACTAGGAAGATTTGGTGGGCTGTGAATGGCTTTGGCTTCACCAATCATATATTACCATCTCCTTGTCATAAGCATTTTCAGTCTTTGGCAACCCAATGGATAGTTTTGCTTTTATTCTATGCAAGCTTAAGTACCTAAGAACTTTCTATTTCTATATTTATGCCACTCCTGCTAACTTTTATCTCATTGTATAATTGGCTTGGAGTTCTGGTGTAAGATAACTTGATTGGAAGGTCGTTTGAATTGCAAGGTTGGTGGTTCAAACTCACCATCTGCTTCTTGGAAATCCTATATACTTAACAACTTATCCCACAACTTAATAACAACAATAACATAATTGACTTATTTAATTTTGAAACAATTTGGTACTTGAATTTTCATTGCCAAGAGCCCTGGTGTGGTGCTATAGGATAAGCACTGGACCTTTGAATTGGCAAGATCGGCAGTTCAAACTCACCAGCCACTCCTCGGAAACCCTATACAGGGTCGCTATGAGTCAGAACCAACTTGAGGGCACTTGACAACAAAATTTCTTTAAATATGGCTAATGTATCTCAAGACTTTACATTAAGACATATTTCCTAACTCCCAAGGACTTCATGGTTTAAGGGAAATACTGATTTCTGCCGATCATAATTCATACTGGCCTCAACTCAGACTTGTCTGAGAGCCCTTATTCTTTGCTTTCCTTCTACCATGGAGCTTGGATATAGTTATAAGAGAAGAGACAGGAAGAATGAGACACAATTTAAAAAGAGGAGTCCATCATTATCTGGGAGTCTTGGTGTGATGCTTGTGGGGGATAAGCATTGGATTGCAAGGTCTGTTTAAACTGCAAGGTCAGTGGTTCAAACTCACTAGTCACTCCTCAGAAATCCTAGAGAGGGTTGCTATGACACAGAAATGACTCAATGGCACTCAACAACAACAACATGATTACCTGAGCGTATCGATAGTTCAGTGGTAGAATTCCATGTAAGAGACCCAGGTTTCATTCTGGGCTAATGAATCTCGTGCATAGCCCCCATCCATCTGTCAATGAAGGCTTGCATGTTGCTGTTGCTGAACAGGATTCAGCAGAGCTGTCAGACTAAGATGGCTGAGGAAGAAAGGTCTGGGTATCCACTTTTGAAAATCAGCTAATAAAAACCCTGTGGACCACAATGGACCGATCTGCAATCTATCATGGGGATGGGTCCAGACAATGTGCTTTCATTGTTCATGGGTTCCATGTGTTGGGGCTAACTTGATGGCAGCTAACTACAGCAACAAAAGATAAAGAGAATGCACCTTAAATGCACTGATTTGGCACCCTGAAGAATCTGGTATTTATTGCTCAGCTCCTTAAATAAATAGACAGCTGTGAACTATACACCTCAATGGATGATACTTAAAAATAAACTTGTAAGATCTTTAATAGTGATTCAAAATTTAAAACCCAGATTTAAATCTGCTAAAATACTGTTTCATTTTTCTTTTTTAAAAATCAAAATCTTAATTCCTGATGTAGCTTGTTTTTCAGTTGCAGAAAGTAATCTTCTTGAAGAAAATATCTCGATATTAAAACATCAGAGTAATACAACTGATAAGCTGTGTATACACATTTTCATTTTGAAAAGAATATTAAAAATATTTTTGTTTTTCATTGAAGTATATAATTCTACTGGAGTTGTTTCTGGAACAAGGAGTCTTAATTCCATTAAAACCATTGTTTTAATTAAACGGATATACAGGTATGAGTTATGTAATGCCCACAGTGTGTTCTGTGAAACTGAATGTTATGTGACTTGGATGTTGTATGAACAGCTCATTATGTAGTGTATGTTTGTATGTATTTAATGCATGTGTATCAGTAACTCCATGCAAGCTACTTCAGTTGTCCTTTAGCTTCCAGAGCCTCCAAGAAGCCCTGGGGAATCTGGTCAGAATTAGAAGTTCTATAGCAGCTCTGAAGGCTGCAGAGCAGCCAAGCGGGGCACGTGACAGTGACAGCCGCTTCCCCTAGAACTGCAAACTGGATGCTGGCCCTGCTTCGTGGCACCCATTCAAGAAAGTTCCAGAGATGTATATGTGGTCAGATCTTATTGCCACATGGCCACTGGATGGCACATACCTGTGTTTTTAAAAAAAACAGCCTAGCGATTCTAAACTTTTAAATTGCAGCAGTCCCTAAAAAGCAGCTGGTCTCTTTACTTTCTGCCTTCATCAAATGCTAACCCTGCAGGTCTTACTAAGCTGTTTAAGACCCCAAGTCTCAGTATGGTTGTTTGGTCTCATGCAGGCAGTGGTGTAATTTAAGAGAATGGCACATGTGGGCATCCTTGAACTTTTTTATTTTATTTTAATAAAAAGTGAATAAAAATAAGGTGCAATTATTAATTAGAAAGGAACTGTTTTACTGACATCTGGAGGTACAACCTACAGTGTTAGGCATAGTCAGGACACATGTGGCAAGTTGGTAGGTTCAAGGAGTAAGTAGCCATTGCAGGGACTTGCTAACCTGGACGGGATTACAGAATTGGAGCTTGAGCTTCTCCTTACAGGCTCTTAAGGGTATCTGAATCCTACTGCCCTTTTCTTATTGCCCATTCTACTTTGGAAAGAGATCCTACCAAGAGCTGTATGTCCATGCACAGCAAAACATTCATCTGGTTATACATCCAATCCTATTTTTAATTTGTATTAAAAAGTGGTATCATATATAAATGGTTACTATTTCCCTACAATATTATATAGATTATTGCCAGAAAGCACTTTAGAGAGATTGGATGTAGATATCACTATAAATGAAAGAATAATGCAATAAGAATAGCGACAGCATCAGTAGATATAATAGCATATTTAGGCAAGTAGAAAACATGACTCATTTTATTAATTTTGTTAGTTACACAGGACTTTTGAATCATACATAATGACATAAAATGAAGTATGTATAGAATTTAAACAAATTATTTGATTGAAGAATAGTACTAGAGAAAGACATTTTAAATTATTCACCCACAATAAAATAACTTCTTATTTTCTGTAAATAAGTATTATATGTGCTGATATACGTGCGGGTAGGTTTCTGCTTTACTTTACCTAAAACCTGGAATAATGGGATCTTCAGGGTGGACCATTCAGATGCTTCACTTACACAATTCTGGCTGAAATTTCATATCACAATGAGGATATCTGTTTATAAGAGAGAGAAATTCCTCTGGTCTGGAGAAAAGAGATTAGCACAAAGTATTTGAATATATGCCACAAAGTCTTGGAAGTTCCAAAGTTTCTCCCTTCAATGATACAAACCATTCTCACCATTCAACTTAGTTAACTGGCTATATTTTCTCAATTTTACAGTGGAAGTTAATGGGAAAGTAAGTCTACTTTCAGAAAATTGCTTTGCAAACAATGTGCTACAACATTTCTATAAAGTGAGGGATATAAGCATTCTCTTGCACACCTGAGTTTAATGAACTGTTTCCTTTAATGTTCTATGTCTGTACTTGAGGAGTACCACCCTAGGAATTGATACATGCATTAACAACAGATCAAAGCAGGCCAAATAATTACTAAGTACTTTGTTGGCTTTACACCAGGATCAAAACATTTGCTAACCTAACTTTCCATGCCGTCACTGCATTGACTGTGCGTTCACTAACTTAAAGTACACGTCTCGATTTCTCAGCAGCTCTTGATGAGTTCCCTGTTCCTTGATTTTTCCATTGTGCAGAACCACGATCAAGTCTGCATTCTGTATTGTGGAAAGTCTGTGAGCCACCATTAGGCACGTCCGCCCTCTCCTCACTTTATTCAGGGCATGCTGTACCACCTGGAAGAAAGGAAGACCTGAGCAAAGCTCTAATTAGATGCTGATTGTTGCTGTTGCTGTTACGTGTTGTTAAGCCAGTTACTACCTTAGGGAACCTGTATAGGGTTCCTGAGGAGTAGCTGGTAAGTTTGAACTGCCGACCTTGTGGTTAGCAGTCCAATACTCATCTTACAGGGCCACACCTGGACTTCTTGGGTGCTAATGGTGGTAGTTATATGCACTGGAGTCAGTTCCAAATCATGACGACCCTGTATAGCATTTCTGAGGCTGTAAATCTTTACTGGAGCAGAAGGCCTCATCTTTCTCCCTAGGAGAAACTGATAGATTCAAACTGCTGACTTTGCAGTTAGCAGCCCAACTCATCACCCAGAAGGCAACCAGTACTCCGTTAGATGCTGATGTTGTTGTCAGGTGCCACTGAGTCAGAACCGACTCATAGCGACCCCATGTACAGCAGAACGAAACAATGTCCGGTCCTGGGCCAACCTCACTACTGCCACCACACTTGACGCCATCAATGATGCCACCTGGCTGATCCATCTCGTTGGGGGTCTTCCTCTTTTTCTCTAACCCTCCACCTTACCTAGCATGACTAAACCAAAGGAATCAAGGTTATCTTAAAAGAAATCTGTGTTTTATGTGCTTATCCCCAAGCAAACTATCCTACTTTGTGAACTATCCATGGCATTCAACAATCATCTGTTGGTAGTGTGACATGGAGCTGGTTCTGACTCATAGCAACCATGTATAGGGTTCCCAAGGCTGTAAATCTTTATGGGAGCAGAAACCTCACCTTTCTCCTGCAGAACAGCTGGTAGTTTCGAACTTATGACCTTGAGGTTAGCAACCCAACTTGTAACCACTACGCTACCAGAGCTCCTTCAACAGTCATCTAGAAAATAGAATTCTGGAGACATCAGTTAAAGATTTCTCATCAGAAAAGCTGCTGTAACAATGAATAAAATGGATTGGTTGTATAAAAAGTGTGGTAATTAACAGGTTCCAAACTCAAAATCAGAAAGGAATATTTTCACATCTAAGAAAAATGTCTGATTTATTATTTACCTCATTTGCTCTTTCTTTCTCTTCTCTTCTTTTTCATTTTTTGGTAGGAGGTCTGTAAAAGTATCCTGACTCACACCTCAGCTAACAATGAGGTTATAACACCGGATATATGATATGTAGTGGAGTGTGAAATCCAGTTTTTGTTGAATATATAAAATGCTCCAAGGATAGATATCTTATTTAAATCATTGCAGTAACTCTGTAAGGTGAAGGGATTTTTTTTTTTTTTTTTCTGATGAGTAAACTGAAGTTCCAACATCCATGTCATATGACCAATAATGTTGTTGTTGTTGTTATGTGCCATTGAGTCGGTTCCGACCCATAGCGACTCTGTATAGGGTTTACGAGGGTGTAAATCTTTACGGGAGTAGAAAGCCTCATCTTTCTCCCGCGGAGCAGCTGGTAGTTTCGAACCGCTGACCTTAAGGTTCGCAGCTCAATTCGTAACCACTACGCTAATGACCAATAATACTACACTGCTAGTCAAGGAGTCCTGGTGGTCCCCTTTTGATACTGAGACACATTCAAGTAGGAAAATCTTTCCAGAACATGAGGTGCCTTCTGTTCTAACTCTCTCCCGCCTCCTCACCATCCTCTTAACAAGGCTGGTGACTTATGACCAAAATTCTTTCTCGTTCTCTCTCCAAATTGACTTTGGTTGGTCCATGAAACTGTACTCTTCTATTTGGTATGATGTTGAAAAATGAAAGAAGAGGATCTTACCTTTTCACTCTCGTTGTCAAGGGCTGAAGTGGCCTCATCCAACAATAAAATTTTTGGTTTTCGAAGAAGAGCCCTAGCAATAGCTATTCTTTGTTTTTGGCCACCAGAAAGCTGTACTCCTTTCAGCCCAACTTGTGTGTTGTATTTCTATTACAGGAACATGCAATTAAGAAAGCAAGTCTTGGTTATTTAAATTAGCATGGCAACTGTGGGCGAGAACCATCTAAATATTTCAAATCGTGCTACTCTTGAAAATTTGTGTCCCAACAAGTGTTGAAATCTTTCCTGAGCTTTGTTGCAAACAAATGCTTAACCAGCAGTAAATACTCTACCATCTCGTTTACACAGCGAGTCTGATCACAGAGACCTTTGGCATTATGTTTCTACAAAGAAATTATTCCAATTAAAAAGTACAAATTTTTAAAAAATTGGCAAAAATCATTTCAGTATATAAATCCACTACCATTAAGTTATATTGCTTACTATTAATAGATCAGAACTATTTAAGGCATTTCAAAACAATAAGGAAGGCATCAGGTGACATACTGGGATGCTATTCTCAATGGTGCAATCTTCTCCCGGCAGCAAGTTAGACCTGCATCTTGAGACAGTCCAGTCATCTTTTCAGAGTCCTGGTATGCCATTGTAGGATCAGCAATGGACTCCTAACCACAAGGTTGATGGTTCAATCCCACCAGCCGCTCCTTGGAAAACTATGAAGGGTTGCTATGAGTCAGAACTGACTCAACAGCACTTAACAGTCATCTTTTCAGGCCACAGTGGCTCCACAGTTCCCGGATTTACTAACACTGCCGCCTTCTCCAGTGATTTCATGTATGGATCAGTGAGAGGCATTTCACACATATGCTGAAGTGATTGTTGCCCCTTAAATCATGATTGGGTAGTCCAAGGGTTTAAGCAGACCTTTGCTTGCTTTCTAGATGGCGTCCTTGGCTCTGCTTCTCTCCAAGGTATTGCACTGCTTCCTAGAAATCATTGCCTGTTGCCTGACCATTATACGTTGTTGGTACCCAGTCAAGAATGTGTGGGCAAATTAGCTCCATTGAGAAAGCAAGTCCAGGTGTATAGCCTTCTAAAGGTGGCTACCTAGATACAGCACTGAGAAGACATAGCACATGATCCTAATTCTGGTCATTCTAGTACCGTGGAGAAGACGCAGTTAACTGCCTTTCTCTCTATGCCTGATGTCTTCAGGAGGTGCCATTGGGCTGAGTGCTACCAGAACCTACGGTATAATCTTATGACAAATGTGTCTATTTCCCCATCTCCAAGTTGGCTTTTCAACCTAAAATGTACAGTTGCTTGCTTTATGACTGCCTGAATTGCTAAAGCCTGATAAAATGTAACTTTTCTAAAGAAAACAGACTTTTGTTATTTCCTCTGCAAATTTCTATGGGACTGCTAATAGGCTGGGTCTCTTCCTTCTAAAATACATTTCATTAAATTCAGAATTATAAGGCAGGGCAATCAGATAAAACTGCATTCATTTCCACTTCCTACTGAGTACCCACCCAAATTAGAGCATACAAGTTTACACCAAAAATTGGAGGGAACTGGTGGGGATGATAATGGACTTCCTGTAGTCATTTCTGTCATTCTAACTTCAGTTATACATGGATTCTTTCAGAGTTGCTGAAGAAGATCCAAAACTAGCTTAGAGATCACTTTGCATTTCTTGACTTTCTCTGGATTACAGAATGATGTAAGTTTGAAGAATGAATTGGCTGAAAATTAAATTTTACTGTTTCCCCAGCAGACCAGATTATAAAGAAAATTATGTCATATGTTAAGAAACCAAAAAACTCCAAGCCTATTGCTACCAATTCAATTCTGATTTACAGTGACCCTATAGAGTAGCGTTGTTTTTAAGGCGGTAATTTCTATGGTAGCAGACTGCTACATCTCCCCTATGGAGCTTCTGGTGGTTTACAAACCACCAAATTATTTCCATTAGTAGCCACGCACCACCAGGGCTCCTGAGTCAATGGTGGTGGTTGCATGCCATCAAGTCCATTTCCACTCATAGCGAACCTGTGTAGGGTTTCTGATGCTGTAAATCTTTATGGAAGTCAGAAAGCCTCATCTTTCTCCCTCAGAGCGACTGGCTGGTAGATTGGAACTGCTGATCTAGCAGTTAGCATTTCAATGCATAACCCGCTATGCTACCAGAGGTCACTCCTTAGTCAATGTTGTTGTTAAGTGACGTTGAGTCAGTTCTGACTCAGAGAGATTCTGTGTAGTGTTCCGAGAAGTGGCTGGTGGGTTTGAAACAATGCCTTTGTGGTCCTGTCTTGTGGTCCAGTGCCATGCCAGGACTCCTTAGTCAATAGAGATCTGAAAACATTTGCAGATATACTTGAACTGAAGTTCCATACTTGACTGTTTAAATTGAAACTGTTAATCTATTTTCTGGTGTACCCTGGGATTAGAAGTGACCTGAAATCACTTCTTTTATGGGACACTCACAGGGTAATGGTTCCCTCTAAAAGTAGTGGGGAACCTAAAAGCACATTGTTATTGTTGTTGTTAAGTGCCATCAAGTCAGTTCCAACTCATATCAACCCTGTGTAGAGTTTCCCTTAGATCCCGGAAAGACTCTAATCCTGAATCAACTACATTTTGGAGGATCCCTGCTGGCCCTCCAGGAGTTTTAAGATGGCTCCAGTATTAAAAGTGCAAGTCACAAAGCCATGGTATGTCTTGACTGAAAGCTGACACTGTGATACTTATGGGGACACAGGGGATCCAGTCTAGTGTGTTTTCTCAGAGAGTCTGCACTACCAAGTTTTAAGCAGAGGAGGGATATGAGCTACTTTGTTTATTTTGTTTTTTTCAGTGACCAAAGATTTTTTATATTTAAAAACAAAACCAACCTCCCCCCAAACATCCCTCCAAACTAACAAAAAATACCCAAATTAAATAAAATTTACAGTAAATATACCCAGCAAACATTTGTATGTGCAATTAAATACTGTGTCTGTTACTGAGGCATGAACCTCAAACAAACAATATACAAGTGTTCTGGGGGTGGGCAGAGGCCCAAGTGGCTGGTGGGTTTGAATCAATGCCTTTGTGGATCAAACCTTTGTGGGGTTTGGGGAGACCAGATGGAGGAAGTGAGAGGAAAGGAAAATCAATTTAGTTTTTCTTAATTCTGTTCATATAAATATATTTATAAAGACCAAAAAAGAAAAGGGAGCTTAGGATGGTAAGGAAATAGAATAGGGGAGTGTGGGACCCTCCTAATTCTACCTGGTCAAAAAAAATACTAAAGAAATTAATTTCATGGTGGGAGGAGAAATAAAAAATGATAGAAGAGCATGGGAAGGAGAGGGGAGAAAGAGCCAACCAGGGCCAGGGCAGGGGAGCGAGGTAGCGAGGGCCAGTCTGTTTCCATCTTTGTCCCTCCGGTCTTAGGCTCCAGTTTAGCATCTGCCTCCCTACTTTCTGCCTCTGTCTGATATCTGTCTGGACCTACTCTACCCTGTCCACACCCCTTCTATGCTGTTCCTTTCTCTCCTTCACTCATTGGGAGCTGGCTCGCTCCAGAATCCTCAGATCATAGTTCTTTTTGGCCACTTGAAGTTTGAAGCGACTCTCAAGAGTTGTTGAGGTGAAGGGAGGCATTCTGGGCAGCCAGGGGCCTGGGGAATCTGGCCATGATGGTGTACAAGGCAGCAAGGAGGTCTGTGTGGTGGCAGTTCTCAGCAGTCCCACTATTGTCCCCCTTGCCCTCACCAGGCAGCCCCTGAGTATCCTTGAGCCACTGGATCTTGGCGCCAGACATGGAGAGCTGAGTGAAGAGTTTGTCAGCTTTGGTATGGGTGATGCCCTTGGGGAGATCTGTCACCTCCAGCACCTGCCCCAGGAAAACATCTGCAGTCCCCAAGTCAGTAGAGGCAGATTTAAGTGCTTGTCTCTTACCCCAGTTTCCATGCTTCAATCCACTCTGTCCCGGATGCACTGTGTAAGTCGACTGGCCATGAAGCAAGGGAGGGCAGATGGACAGATTGTACTGTAATGGCTGGCCCAGTAAGGGAGTAGTGCCAGTCACCCTGTGTGGGGACGGGACAGGCAGGGGACTGAGTCCTGTGCAGATGTTGCTGAGGCTCATGACAGGAGATGGTAGCTAGGGACTGGGTAGGAGATGGTACAGGTGTTGGCCTGGAGGTTACTTTCAGGATTGTACAGGTTCTGTCCCCGCGGGTCCACACTGTAATATTTACAGTGACTCCACCAGACCATGGATGGATTCTGGGGTCATTAAGCTGCATGACCACCACACCTGGTCCAGAAGGTGACACTCCTGAATACTGTGGCGGCTGTTGCTGAAGCGTGGATGGGAGAGTAGAAGCTGCTGCTACCATTGGGCAGTACAAGGGAGAAGGCCCCGGACAGACTGGGATGTGGTGACCTGGTTGCACACTTTTGGGGCACCTAGTGCCATACCTGGCCTGGAGATCCTTCCTGCCCTGCCACCTTTACTGCTGCCAAGGCTGTCGCCCAGGGTGAAGATAGAAATTCCACTGAAGCTGCTGGCTTTGGTGACGGGTTCTCATGCTTTGGACAGAGCCATCAGAGTCTGTGCTGCCCCAGAGCCATGGCTCCAGGGATTTGAGTCTGCTGTCTGTGCTGCTCTGGTGACTACTTGAGGTGGGCTCAGCCCCTCACGGTTCCCCCTGAGGTCATTTAGATATCCGTTCTGGCCAGTCTGCTTATCATCTCCATCCATACTGGCATCATCTCTGTTGAGAATGAATCTCTGTTGAAATCTCTGTATTCTTCTCATCCTTCATATGTTCTGAGAATCTCTGTTCAGGAATTCTCATGTTACTGGTTTTGTTGATGATGACAGCTTTTCCAGTTGGATCATCGTTGTGATCCAGCCCCAAATAGGCAGCTACCGGATGTAATAGCATCCGGTGATATGAGGTCATCTGAGGGAACTTCTTTAACTGGTTATTGTCATTAATAAAGTTCAGAATCTCCTGTTCTAATTTTAGTAGCATCATTCCATCCCTTGGGTTCTTTTTCAGTGTATTTACAAGAAATTCACGTAGGTCTATTCCAGTGGAGTCCGTATACTTTTGGCTGCAGTCTTTGGACAGCATCTTCCTTGGGATCATTTCTTTATTTTTGTCCTTGTCTTCCTTTTCAGAGACATGTTTTGTAGACTTTCCCTCTTCCTTGACAGAGGGGCAACTGATATGCAGTTGAATTATATCCTGGGTTTGCAGTGGCCCTTCAACAAATGGGGCGGAGGACTCCTCACACACCCCCAGGCTGCACACCAACTTCAGCTTGGAGTTAAGACTTGGCTCATTTAGACTTGGCATGACCATGGTTGGATGTCCGCCTCTGTGTTTCCTGGCGCAAATTAGTATCTTCACCTTCTTTCTCAATTACTTCCTGACTTGGAGCCTTAGATATAAACTTGATTTTGCTTACAGATTCTGCCACCAGTTTTTTGTGTTTTTTTTTTCTGATTCTTTCATTATTTCCAGGGTCTCTTGAATAGTGTTACTGTTAGACATCTTCAATAGAACACAATAGCTTCTATGGACTCCTGAATAAATGCTCAGTGTCCATGAGTCCAGTGCTGGAATGGCATCACATATAAGAAACAAGTCTCATGCCTGGGGAGTGCCGTCTCCGCCCGCGGCCTGGACCCCAGCTGCTAGGTGGCGTGCTTCTGGCGGCTCTTCTGGCAGGGGTTTCCCCGGGTCCCAGGGCAGGAGTGCTGGTGTGTGTGGGGGGGAAGAATGGCGGGAAAGGGGAGGGGTTTGGGGGAGAGGGGGAGGAGAGGGAAGAAAAGGGGGGAACCAAACCTGGAAAGGGAGGAAAGAGGGGCTACTTCTACTTTGTTTATTTTTCAACGATCTTTTTGGTCGTTGTGAGGAAGAAGAATTATAAAGCAGGAAGAATGGAAGTAGGAAGACAGAATAAGAGGCCTACTGTAGTGGTCCGGAGGAGGATGATGGTGGTATGAACACGAGTAACGGTGAAGAATCTATGCATAAATGTTAATCCAGTGAACAATAATACCATTTTAGTCTTGATGTTCGAAAAAGATAATCACACAGAAATGTTCAATTTTGTTCTCAAAGTTAGATACCGGCAATTAATAAATCCAACCATCCGAGAAGTACATAAAAACAGCCACTGACGCTCTGTAGCTACTCTTGAAAGCTTTGTAATTTAGCATTTCAGACATGTTCTCACCTCGGGGAGAGAGTCAATAAAGGAGTGGATATTTGCTGCATTTGCTGCTTCTTTTATCTCATCCAGGGGCACAACACGGCTGGTATCACCGTAGGCAATGTTCTCAGCAATGCTGCAGTTGAAGAGTACCGGCTCCTGAGAAACAATTGCTATTTGGGAACGCAGCCACTGTACGTTCAAATCCTTTGCATCCACACCATCAAAGAGCTGTCAAAAGCAGAATTGAAGATGGTATGTTAAGATCCGACAACTGTATCGGGTTACGGTCTACTGTCATGATTTCATACTCAAACATACATAAATCATAATAGGAAAGTTAGGAATTCAAGCTATTTCAAAATGTCATGTTCCCCAAGGAAGGCTCATAAATCATCTATTGTCTAGAAGCAAACAATCTTTAGCTGACTAGCATGCTGACTCCTAACCCTACCTGATTTTTCTAGGAATGACCACATGTTCTATAGTAAAGCTTGCTGACCTGATCCAAAATCAGATGGAAAAAGATTAGTCACCTTCTCCACTGTATGTAAGCCCACATAGAAAGTAAGTTATATGAGGGTGCTTCAAAAAATTCATGGAAAAATCCCATTATATTTTGATTCTATTTTTTCCATGAATTTTTGGAAGTCCCCTAGTAGATGGTTCCATCAGTCCACATGTAGAAATATGCCATTCTGCTCATTGTTGTTTCTGGGAGGTGCCATCAAGATGGTTCTGACCCATAGTGACACTATGTACACAGAACAGAATACTGCCTGGCCCCGTGCCATTTTCATAATCACTGCTATGTTTGGGCTCATTGTGGCGGCCACTGTGTCACTCATTCCTGTTAAAGGGTCTTCCTCTATTTTGCTCTTACTTTATGTCCTTTTTCAGATAGTAGCCTCTCCTAATAACATGCCCAAAGTTTATAAGATGAAGTCTTGCTATCCTCGCTTCTAAGGAGAATTCTGGCTGTATTTCTTCCTAGATAAATTTGCTTGTTCTTCTGGAAGTCCATGATATATTCAATATTGTTGGCCAACACGTCAAATGTATCAACTTTCCTTTGGTCTTCCTTAGACTGTCATTGTTGTTGTGAAGTGCCATCTTGTCCGTTCTGACTCATAGTGACCCTGTATAGGGTTTCCGAGGAATTGCTGCTGAGTTTGAACTGCTGACTTTTTGGTTCAAACTGACTTTGTAGTCCAATGCTTATCCTACAGTGCCACACCATTTTTATTCACATGGACATTGTATACTATGAGTTATACGTATGTGGTGGGGATGCTTCAGCATAGGAGAAATAGTGAAAAAATAAGACAAAACTCTTCCCCTCCTACAGACCACATGCTAGTGGAGAGTGGCAAGCAATAAACACACTAGTTAATAACAATAACAATAAATACACTAACCAAAGCCTTTTATGGTCTGACACTTCAGTCCTCACTAAACACAGGAATACACAATGCCAGACCATACAGGGCATTGCTTGATAATTTAGACTGTGGTTTATTCTAACTTAGGCAGGAAACCATTGGAGGGCTCAAAGTGGGACATATGCTATGCTGTGATCTGCATAAATTATGTGATGAATCTTAGCTAGTTCAAGGGAGCCATTTGGAATACTCCATTTTGCAACTATTCCTTGAGAGTTTGTGATTTGGAAGAGACTGTAAATTACAGTAGAATGAGGACTAATATAACAGCCTTTGTCCTAACGAGACTGATAGTTATTTTGAGGAAAGAACACTTTAGGACTAGAAGATACACAGGTTGCTGTACATTGTTACTAAGTATCATCAAGTCTGTTCCAACTCATAGATACACTGTATAGGGTTTTGTAAGGTGTGGCTGATGGGTTTGAACCACCAACCTTGCAGTTAGCTGTCCAGAGCTTATCCTACAACACTACACCAGGACTTCTTGATTGTGGTTAGGGAAAAGATACAGCCAACCAGATTACAAAATAAATAGGTGCGTAGTGTTTATGAATTGGGCTGCTAACCTCACGGTCAGCAGTTCGAAACTACCAGATGTTCTGTGGGAGAAGGATGAGGCTTTCTGCTCCCATAAAGATTTGCAGCCTCAGAAACCCTGTATAGGGTCGCTATGAGTTGGAACCGACTCCACGGCACATCACCACCACCACCACCACCACCACCACCAGGTAAGAAAAAACAATTCTTGGGATTCTGAGTAGGTATAGTTTGGATGTTTTTTCTTGAAATTGGGAGGTACATTTTAATGCAGCTGATTCAAATAACCCTTAATCATGCATAAGGTTTTGGTAACTGTGGAGAGGTTAGTGGTAATGGTGTGGCCAGTGGAAATAGCAAGAGGCCTGCATTAAGGAGGTGGCAAAAGTGATTCCTTTTGTCTTCAACTAGAGCAGAATAAAGAGTGAGCTGCAAAGTGGACGTTAGACCTCTTGCAATACCAGTATTCTAAGTAAATTCCATGGTTTAAAAATTTCCCCATCATTGTGGTTGAAAATTCTCTGGGCTTTTGCATTTTGACTCCAAGTCCTATTTTTTGGTGATTTGTTTACTTGACCTTTTAGTTAAGGACTGGCGTAGAGAATTTTATTTTTTAAAACTTTTATATACTGTTTGTCCCAAACTAAACTAATGAGGATGGCTAATTCCATCATTACCACTACCACAGGGCCTAAACTCGGCCTTACCACTTGTCCTTTGAGGGGATCATAGAACCGCAACAGAAGCTGACCGGAAGTGCTTTTCCCACAGCCACTGCTCCCAACCAAGGCTACTGTCTTCCCTGACTTGACACTGAGGCATAAGTCCTGAAGAACGAGGACATCGGGGCGGCATGGATAGAAGAAGGAGACTTCTCGAAATTCTATATTCCCTTCACATGTATCCTGTGAAAGGAGCGTGAAGGCATTTAGCAGGGTGATTTAGGAAGGCTGTAACACGTTGAACGTTTTTGGAACACTGGGCACGTTGTTTACAAACATTTTAATTTTAGTCACAGAATACATCTCTGGAGAACCATTTACTGCATATCAGTCA